CCCAGGGTACTGTGCTTGCTCCAGTACTTTTTCTCATCCTCATTTCGGACATAGACAAGAACACAACCTATAGCACTGTATCATCCTTTGCAGATGACACTAGGATCTTCATGAGAGTAGGCAACATAGAGGACACGGCGAACCTCCAGTCAGATGTAGATCAGGTCTTTCTATGGGCTACAGAAAATAATATGGTGTTTAACGAAGATAAGTTCCAGCTCATGCGCTATGGAAAAAATGAAAATATAAAAACGGAAACCACGTACAAAACTCAGGCAAATCATAACATAGAACGAAAAGGCAATGTAAAGGATCTGGGTGTACTCATGTCGGAAGACCTTACCTTTAAAGAACACAATAAAGTAGCCGTCACAACTGCAAGAAAAATGACAGGTTGGATAACAAGAACTTTTCACACTAGAGATGCTATACCGATGATGATACTTTTCAAAACGCTTGTGCTCTCTAGAGTGGAGTACTGCTGCACAATGACAGCACCTTTCAAAGCTGGAGAAATTACTGACCTGGAGAGCGTGCAGAGATCCTTTACTGCTAGAATCCACTCAGTAAAACATCTAAACTATTGGGACCGACTAAAGAGCCTAAAACTGTACTCCCTTGAGCGCAGGCGGGAGAGGTACATAATAATTTACACGTGGAAAATATTAGAGGGGCTGGTCCCAAATCTGCACACAGAAATAACATCACATGAGACCAGAAGACATGGCAGGATGTGCAGAATACCCCCGTTGAAAAACAGAGGTGCAACTGGTACTCTGAGAGAGAACTCTATCAACATCAGAGGTCCGAGACTGTTCAACACGCTTCCACTACACATAAGGGGCATAACTGGCCGACCCCTCACAGTGTTCAAGAGAGAACTGGATAAGCACCTCCAAAGGATACCTGATCAACCAGGCTGTGACTCGTACGTCAGGCTGCGAGCAGCCGCGTCCAACAGCCTGGTTAATCAGTCCGGCAACCAGGAGGCCTGGTCGACGACCGGGCCGCGGGGACGCTAAGCCTCGGAAGCACCTCAAGGTAACCTCAAGGTAAAGATGATGAGTGAGGGTGGACAGATAAGGGAATACTGTACTGTAAACCTCACTTTACAGTGAGGTTTCACTCACTTTCGTCTGTGTCGTTATAGTTCATAACCCATGACTTTGAACGTTTCAGATTAATAAATCATTTCTAAAACTAGTGTTTTAATTACTTTATTATCCTAATTAAACTAAACTAAATAAAACCAAAAATATACTGTAATATGATAGATATCTGCTATTTGAGAAATTATTCATGTTATTGGCGGCTCACAAGTCCAGCGCGAGTGGACAGGTCTAATCCGTGTGCACACACCATGCTTGTTTTGTTCGATTTCATTGCTATAGATGTGACCTACGGCTTCGAAATAATAAAATTAATAAATCAGTTCTAAAATAAGTATTTTTATAGCTCTTATTATCGTAATAATGTTGCTAAACTAAATATATAACCCAAAATTATATAATTTGATGTAAATCCAATATTTGAGAGAAATTTATGTTACTGGATCTAGCTTAAACACTAGCCTACTGTAGGGTGTACATATAGACCTAGTCTGCGTTCGTACAGTATGCACCCAGTGCCCTTAGTTTTGTCTGTGATTAACGTACAGTATTTAACCGCCGGTGGAAGAATAATTGTGGAATTTACCATTTTTCGACTACAGCTGTATTGTTATAGAACAAAATGTCTCAGGGGCTTATTAATAGTGCCTTATTAATGCCAAAAATGAAGCAATATTTTGCAAGAACTTGTAGCAGAAAATCAACCAGCACGAGAACAGCCGTACCCAGCACGAGAACAGCCGTACCCAGCACGAGAACAGCCGTACCCAGCACGAGAACAGCCGTACCCAGCACGAGAACAGCCGTACCCAGCACGAGCACAGCTGTATCCAGCACTGGTACAACAGCCGTACCCAGCACGAGCACAGTTGTACCCAGCACTAGTACAACAGCAGCCAGCACCAGCTCAGCAGCAGCTGAAGCCAACACAGCAGCAGCAAGCACCAGCAAAGCTGATGCAAACATCTAGAAACATCGTGTGTGGCGTGAACAGATAGAACAAGTGTTAAATTTAAGTGTGTACATAGTGTTAAAATTAAAGTTGCAGTAATTTTAGTGTACAATAGTTTTCATAAACTGTATTGTAGTACTCAACATACAGAACTACTTAATCAACACAGTGTTAACGGCATAATACACTACAGTACATATTTACTGTACTGCATTCGCAACTCCATGAGATTTCAAGATGGACAAAACTCCAACAATAAGGTAAATAAAATGTAACACAGTATTTTTTAGTAGGGTAATAATATATAGGTACAGTATATAATATGATAATGCATTTTTATTGTGTACAAGAAAAAAAAAGATACTGATGCAAACGCCTCCTGAAGGTCACCTCTTGCAACGAAACCAACGCTCCAATGCACTGGGGTTGGTCCCATATAGTACGTTGAATTGAGGTTGTACTGTACACAAATTATATATAAGTATCTGCATGTTTTGTTCACCATAACAAATCACTGAGCTGGTATGGTGCACTGAAACAGCATCAGGGCCACCAACACACCAGTCAGCAGACGATTCTACCTCACTTGCCAGCATTCCTCCTACCATCGTACTGTTTGTGCTGTATGTATAGATACACTATATACACATGTTATATATATATAAGTAGATACATGTTTTGTTCACCATAACTGAACAACTAAGCTGGTATGGTGTCCAAACAACATAGTGGCCACCATACACTGCATGACAAGTCACACATTATCCAGCAGACGACAGCACCTCACTCACCAAAATGGCTCCTCCCAGCATACCGTTTGTGCTGTTATATGCTATATACATGCATTATATGCACACATTATATATAAGTATCTACATTTTTGTTCACCATAACGAACCACTAAGTAGGTATGTAGAGTCCAAACAATAACAGTTGCCGCCACACAGAGTCAGCTGATAATGCCACCTCCCTCCCTCCCTCCCTCACCAAGATTATTCCTCCCACCATACTATGCACATCGCTAATTCTCACCATACTGCTGCTATTATCAGAATCCTGGTCACTAAGTCCCGTAAATAAATGATTTTCCACAAGTTTATTTTGTAAAGGAACATGGTAAGTCATTTCAAGATTCTTAGATGGACCAAACATTGGTAGTATGCTGTGAACACTGTGAACATCTTGAACAGCATTGAACTCGCCAGCATTCCTCCTCCCACCATACTGTTATTGTTTTTATTACAATATTTACACATGTTATGTATAAGTATCTATATGTTTTATTCACCATAACTGTGCAACTAAGCTCATATTGTGTCCAAACAGCACAGTAGCCATCATACACTTCATGAGAAATCACACAGCAGATAACGATGCTATGAGTATGATGCCATCTCCCTCACCAAAATGGTTCCTCCCAATACACTCCTGTTGCTGTTATTACACTATTTACACACATTGTACATACCCATGTACATATGTTCACCATAGCGAACCACTAAGCTAGTATGGTGAGCAAAACAAGAGAGGCTACCACACACAGTGACGCTACCTCGATTCCCTCCCTCCCTCGCCAAAATTCCTCCTTCCACAATACTACGCACAGCGCTAATTATAACCACAATCCTGCTATTATCACAATCCTGGTCACTAAATCCTGTAAATGAATAAGTGACCACAAGTTTATTTCGTAAAGGAACATAAGAAGTCGTTTGAAGATTCCTAGATGGACGAAATAATGCTGTGGTGCTGTGGCTAGCTCTGTGAACATCGTGAACAGCATTGATTCACTGATATCTGAACATAGTACACAGTCATTATCACACTCAGGCTCTTCTGTAATACTATCATGGCTAAATAATACAAGTTATATATATATATATTTTGACATTATTAGGCGATGCTGTGGTCACAAGCTGAACAGCAGTGCTGTGAGCTCATGTTGCATGCGCCAGCCTTGGTTGCTCACTCAGTACCGAGGCTCTCACACCCAGGAATGTTGCTCACAATTTAAAAAAAAATGGCGTCTGTTTACAAGAGCCCTGAGGAAGCTGATGTGAACTCCATGTAGACGCGGGAGTTTTGAATCATATGCTATACCTATAAGATCCCGGAGGTGCGTTGCACACCCATTGTCGAGCGCCTGCGGGCACATTGAGCAGTTCAGTGGTTAAATTATAAAAACTGTAATTTTGCCCGTTAAATGACCAAATTACAGTATCCTTTGTGCGGGCTGCAGGTGTGGTTGCAAGGGCCACATGTTTGACATGCCTGCTATACAATATACCTGTATATATAAAATCCAACCTGGCTTGTATAGGCAAACATTTTTCAGTTAAATATCTAAGTTACCAAATACAGTTAAAATGGCTTTGTAACTAAGAATTATTGTAAACTGTAAACTCTCTACACCAAACTCCCCCCCCACACACACACACACAGACACACAGCATATCAACAAACTGGGAAAAGTGCAGACATGCTACTAAATGGCTTCTGGAATTGAAAGACATGAGGTATGAAGAGAGGTTAGAGGAATAAATATGCCAAAATTAGATGATAGGAAAAAAGAGGCAATGTGACCACTACGTACAAAATAGTAACGGGAATCGATAAAATAAATAGGGAAGAACTCCTGAGACCTGGAACTTCAAGAACAAGAGGTCATAGATTTAAACTAACTAAGCAAAGCTGCCGAAGATATATAAGTAAATTCACTTTTACAGAGAGGTAGACGGTTAGGTGAGAAGATGGTGGAGTCCAAAACCGTCAGGAGTTTCAAAGTATTATATGACAGAGAGTACTGGGAAGACGGTGACACCACGAGAGCAGATCTCATCGTGTAACTACACTTATGTAATTACATCCCCATCTACACCTCGCCCCTTCTTAGCTTACACTGTGCATCAATTCTAACCAAAACAATGTGCAGAACTTACCAAAACCTTGGGTGGATTAAATTCTGTGTGATATATCCTTCCTGATGGTAGGTGAGTCCAGCGGCCTTTGATGCGATCTATTATGACCTCATCTGGCACCTCAAGGCTCAGTACCAAGTCAAGCTATGGAAACAAGCATCACAACAAAGGTATTGCAGAACAACAGGATGCAAAAATAAACAAAGTAAATAGTAAGCAAACAGGCAAGGATATAATTAAATTACAGTATATCCTCGTGCAAAAGTCAAATTTTTAGACGGTTTTCTTAAGAAGCTGAAATTAGCGGATCGACTATTACACAAGTGCTGCTTTCAAAGGGATGAAATTCATGCTTGCCATGAGTCAAGAAATGGACAAAAAAAACAGTGTTGAACGTAATGAAACGCTATTTTCTGGGTGAGACCCAGAGGTTCCCCGGAGCTAACCGGGCTGATATGAATGTATTAGATCCTGGCATCAGTCAATGCGCATGGAGTTCTAGGCCTATAGAAATCCCTTTATTGTTGGAAGCATTCTATGTCTGCCATCGACCAGGTCAGGCACCAGAAAGGTAAGCGCCTCAAAACAAACCCCTATTCTAGTTAAGAAATTGCTACTAAAAGCTGAACTAGTGGACAGAACTCCCCAAATGAAAATGAGCAAATGAGCCTGAAGTCATCATGTCACTGCATCGTTGTCTGCGCAGCTTCCCCCTCCTCAGGAGGGAGAAGAAGGAACCCCAAACCATCCATGCCGCCTATTCACACCCCAGTTCTGAGGCTGGATGTCAAAAACTGCCAAACCGGAGGGAGGGAGGGAGGGAGGGTTGCTGGGGAGTCTCTGGGTCCCACCCAGAAAATGCCGTTTCATTACATTCAATGCTGGTTTTCTGGGGGGGGGGGAGGAGTTCGTTTCCCCAGAGTTACTTACCCAAAGACAAAAAACAAGAGCAACTTATCCGGGAGGTGGTCGGCATTTGTTCCTTAACTCGGTGTCGAGACAACTGGCTGCAACCGCCGACCAAACAAGACAGGTCCAATGAGGCCCAGGAACATTGACAAGGTAGCGAGCGGTCAGGACTCTGTTCAACCTTCAAAAACCTTGCGCCCAAATGTCAGCCCAAGACACATTACCGAAGACGGCAGCCAGCGCAGCAAACCTACGAATGTCGTGGGCATGGAGATAGACCGCAGGCTGGCTGGACGGAATAACCCTTCAGACGAACAGGGAGATCCGAATCCTGGAACAGGAAAGAAGGGAAACCGGGTCAACCCAAAGCGCGTCCCTGGTCACAGAGGCCGTCGCACATATGTAATAGCGGAGAGCCACATCCGGACACAACACATGATGCACCCCCGGCCTAACCAATCAAGCATCAACAACCCAAGGACCACTCTGGAAAGCAGCAGTCTTATTCTTTGCCAGAAAAGAAGGAGATGGCTGCAAATGAACAAACTTGCCACTAGGACTGAAAGAGCAGAAACCCCTGTGCCGGAGAAGAACATGAAGCTCCCCTACCCGACCCCCAGAGGCTAATTCCAACAAGAAAAAATCCTTGGAGAAACAATCCTGAACCGAAGGGGGCCACCACAAACAGAGGAGAAGAGAGAAAAGAGAGCACCCGATCCAAGGACCAGGATGGCTCAGGCGGCTCATGAGCAGGCCAGAGGTAAACAATGCCCGAGACAGCTTGGGGAACGATTCAGAAGTACTGTAACATCAATGCCGAATGCAAGCTGTAGTGGCTCTGCCAACACCACATGATACGAGGCAACAGTATTCGGCATAAGATGATGGCCCTGGAACAACTTTGAAAGGAAGGGCAAAACAACCTGAACAGAAACCAAAGTAAACCAACAAAGGGACGAGAAATACCAGAAGGACTGCCAGGAAACTTCTTACTGCCGTCGAGACAAAGCCACCTGCTCACCAGATAATTGCTGATGGACTCGAGTCAGAAAGACCATATGAGAAGACTCGAGAAGATTGAACCAGCCACGTAATGGAATGAACCGATCTGCTGAAAGAGGCGGAGCCGCGGGAAGACCCTTGGGTTCGGACACCGAGCAAGCAGCCCCGGAAACCAAGGCTGGGCTGGCCACCAAAGGGACAACAGAACTACTCTCCCCTGGTAAGTTTCCAAGTGAGCCAGGACCTGGAGCAACAACAGAACCGGAGGAAAGAGGAACAGGTAACCCCACCTCAACCAGTCCTGTCACATGGCATCGTCCCCAATGGCCTCGCAGTCGAGAAGGGCACCCATATATAACGGGAGACTCCTCAACCATGCCGACGTGAAGAGGTACACCTTTGGGAGTCCGTACAGCAGAGCCAACTGAATGAGTTGGTGTCGACCGTCAATTACGTGGACAGGGGAATGAACCGTGACAGGCCATCCATCAGGACATTGGACACCTCCCGAACGTGAACGGCCAGGAGAGTCAAACCCCAAGAACTCAGCAGATGAGTCACCCCGAAGTGACCAGCCCCAAAGAACCAAAGACTGCATCGAATGACTTCCCTTGGATCAGGCAATGAACCACCGGGCAGCAGCCCAAATGGAGCTGGATCGTTGATCAGCGAGCGACCCGAACCCTCCGAAGCGACATCCACACCGCCGCAAACTCCCGCACCGTGCTGTGTGCCCGATGGAATATCGGACCCCCCACAGCCCCTGGCTGGCCTGGTGAGCACTGGTCACAAAGCCCCAGCCAAGAGACGACGCATCCGTGAACCAACCCATCCTCAGAATTGACAGTACGATTTAATACTAAGTGTAATAAGTACACTGTCTTACTGTCCTAAACAGTGCATAATTGCACTTATGGGGCCGTTACATTTTTTACCCAACTCCCTCTCCCGAATTAATTCTCCTTGTTTTCTGTTAAGACACTCAGAATTTTAGGATGTAGATTTCAACTTTATTTGCTATTCTCAAGTTTTAAATACTGTATCAGGAATTTCTTTTTCAGGTTTATTAAACAATATAGATTTAATACAAAATTTTAAAATATCCTGAGTTACTTTACAATTTATTGATATATTTTAGTTTTGTTTTATTAGTTTTATAAAACTGTAATATCAATATAGCTATAGGTTAAGTACTAATTGTAATTAAGAAGCAATAAAATTATTATCTTCAAAAACTAAGACGGTTAGGTGAGGTTGTGGTTTTCTATTTAGTTTTTCAGGTAAACTCAAATATTCACAATATATTTGACAGTACGATTTAATACTAAGTGAAAATAAGTACAATTCCTAACTGCTATGAATAGTACATAATTGCACTTATTTGTCTTCTTACAGTTACCACCCCATTTTTGGAGGACGGGCTGCCGTGAACACATCGAGCAAGGGCTTGGGTAGACACCAAGGCACTGAACCCTAAAAAACCCTAAGAAGAAGCCGGCGATGCAGCAGCCGATGCAAGGCCCCCCAGAGGCCAAACGACAATAGCAAGAGAAGCGGAAAGGATGTCCCCGAAGGAACCATAACAGTCAACAAAGCGAAACTCGATCCGGCGGGTAGAACATCACAGCAAAGTTCAGGCTCCCACACAAACCCTCCAGCAACCACCGGATGACCTGGAAGCCCCACAGAAACAGGCGAAGGCGGGACTGCAGCCGAAGCAGCAACTCCGGAGGGAGAGACAAGAAAGCAATCTGAGAGTCCCACCCAGCCAAGATCAAACCTGATGGGACTTCCTCCAATTCCAGATGAGACTTAAGTCTCATCTGGAAACACAAATCGTAACTGTCTCTATTTTCTTCTTGTTACTACTTGTAATAAAGTTGTTACATCTTGGCTTAACGTGTTTATGACGGATTAGAACGTTGTTACAACTTGCTATATTGGTTGTTATAACTGGTTAGGAAGTGTTAAAACTTGTTCGAACGTTGTAGCAACGTCGTAGTTTTGTTGTGTGTTTGGGGGGTTCCTCCAGTTCACCAGGACCCCGAAACGGTGAGCTAGGAAAGAACCAAATTTCTGGCAAGCAGGCAAGCGGACTAGCTGGGAGCCCACACCCACCAGTCGTTGAGATAGGGGTTTGGGTTCTGGCCTAAAAGACGCAAACGAGCCACCATGACCCAGGTAAGGCATGTGAAAATGCTAGGCACCAGATTCAAGCCGAAAGGAAGGTAACAAAAGCAGTAACCCCAATGTCCCACAACAAAACTAAGCCAGTCCCTGAACCCCGGATGAATCAGGACATGCCAATATGCATTCCGGAGGTCCAAGGACACCATCCAAGCGCCCGGCTCCAAAAGATGCCGGACCTTGGACAGGGTAATCATCCGAAAGGAGGGCAATAGACCCAGGGGTTCAGATGGAACAAGTCCAGAATGAACCTCAGGTCCGCATGGGACTGGAAACAGATGGGAAGCCCACCTGAGGAACATCGTCATTTTGACCACGCCCAAGCGCACACACTCCGAGATGACTACACAGAGTGCAGAAGAGGCCTGCCACACCAGCCTTGAACTTCCCGAAGGAAGAGGGGCCACCTAACGCCACTGCAGGCCGCTGGAAATGACCCAAAAGGCCCACAAATCATGGGACCAGGCATGAGCAAACGGAGCGAGCCTCCCCCCTCATTGCCCCGTCAATGGGACGAACCACGAAAGGGCCGACACCCCTTACGAGAACCTGACCTTCGCACACAGAATGATCACTGCGTCGGCCAGAGGAAGATGGCTCCAAAGGCTGCGCCGGCCCCAAAACTGGCACCACTAGCCTATCACAATGGGAGGAACCCCGTGTCTTTGCACGATCCTTCCGGGAACACTCCCTCTCCCACAGGCACCCTGGAGAACCAATAAGTCTGACATTGGACGACAACTGAAGCTGTCTGCAGATGCTGCCCAACCACAGAGTCTGCAAACAGTAAGGGACAAAAAGGCGGCGGAAACCTAAGAGCCAGGGCCCAAGTAAATTGGGCCGACACACGATGAAAAACAAAAAAACAGAGACACTGCATCCTGCAGGATCGGCGCAAACAGCTTCAACATGGTAGACGATGCACGCGCTGCCAAGACCAAGGCACCAAACCCAGAAATGGTTCCAAGAGCCTCCACATCCTCCTCAAGCCAATTCAAGGAGAGCTCCTGGAGGGAAAAGAAACACAAGACCGAAACCAACAGGCC